CAATTCAACCATTGAATCAATGTTTGTCTGGCTTTCTGCAGATATTAATTTGTTTTTTTTTTTTTTTTTTCTGCATTCTAAATTTCTTAGCGCAGACTCCACAGCCGACCGTGAATGGATGAACATCACTTCTGCTTTCTGGATCAAACCAAACACAACGTGGGCAGGAAGCAGGATTAAACCAGCGGACCGGTCGAATAATCTACGGATGCTCATGGGACCTATGGCCACTCCCTTAAGTTCGGTTAGGACCGAGTAGACACCTCAACCCCGAGAGTAAGACGCCGGAGGTTGAGGGGCCGGGGCGAAAGTGTTAAACCGTTGCAATATTTATATTTTTCAAATAACCAAAATTACTGCGAAAATTCACTAATATTGTTCACTATTTCTCTACGAAGTTCTTCTTTTGCACATTACGCTTGTTTGACAGTTTGTCCGTTTATGAGCACCACATCAGTTGTATGTGATTGCGGCCAGGAAGTACCAGATCGTCTGAATCGAAGTTAATACCACCTAGGAAGCTTTCATCTAAGAGGAGTTGATCTGTGGCGACCCTAGTATGTACTAGTCTCACTCTAAAAGATAGTAAATTAGTCTTTGCATTCAGTATCGCACCAGAGAAGTCGGGTGCATGCGAGAGTTGGCCTCGAAATTGACCCATTGCTATCAGATGTAAAATCGGGCTTCAAAGGTTGTTAGTGGTTGCCCCCAACATGTCGAGCAAGCCGAGCATGGGATGTGCACACACGCGACAACGAGATGACAAGCAGTTATATAAGCGCACCAACCGAAAGGGAAAATTAGTCTCTCTCATATCTTCGTGAGAAGAATATCTACGTTCGAAGAAAATCCCCAAAGTCACACATCTTCCCACCGATATTAATAGACAAAGTCCAGACGTGAAAAAACAATACTTTTCCGGATGGAACATGTCTTCTCGAATTCTTACTGTTATTTTTAATGCTACCATCTGTGAAGATTAATAATTTTCTCTTAGCATTGGTTCTCAAGCAGTTGAATTTAGTGTGAAACATCATCTTCATTGCCATATTCACAACGTTTCAGCTGTTGTACGCTCCGACCTTCTTCAGGTGACTGGAATTTCGAACCGAACCCTTTATTTCGTCCACCGGGGTAGATTCTTCTAGCTCCACGGGTCATGCCTCTTCCGGGTGTCTCCGTTATTTCCAAGCTTTGGTTCACCACTACTGTGGCCTCACAACACTTTGGGTCAAGTCACTAGATTTAACCAACTAGGTCATGTGGCCTGGAGGACATCTGTATATGAATTTTTGACACTTAAAAACTTAATGTCTCAACAACCAATTTTTTTTTTTACCTGTGCTCATATTGCAATTTTTCAATTATTATTGTTTCATTTTTTTACCAGATCTTATATTGCAATTTTTTGTTATTGCTTTACCTAGCACTCTTTATTACTGGTTCCCATATTGTATTCATTTCTATGCTTGGTCAATCGTTATCTTCTGTTTTCTTAATTCTTGTTCTTTTATTGTCCTCTCTCCTTAATAGTAGTTTTTCTCATATTCTCCAACACTCAGTAACCCCTTGCGTCCTAGAGGCTTTATTGCCTTTGATCTTCAAAAATTTAAATGCAATGTCAATCATTATCTTCTGTCTTCTTAATTCTTGTTCTTTTATTGTCCTCTCTCCTTAATAGTAGTTTTTATCATATTCTCCAACACTCAGTAACCCCTTGCGTCCTAGAGGCTTTCTTGCCTTTGATGTTCAAAAATTTAAATGCAATGTCAATCATTATCTTCTGTCTTCTTAATTCTTGTTCTTTTATTGTCCTCTCTCCTTAATAGTAGTTTTTATCATATTCTCTAACACTCAGTAACCCCTTGCGTCCTAGAGGCTTTATTGCCTTTGATCTTCAAAAATTTAAATGCAATGTCAATCATTATCTTCTGTTGTATATGCAGAGATCCGACAGTTTGACAACTAACGTTTTTCTCTCTGCCCTTTTCTAGGATGGAATATGAGCGCAGAGCAGCGGTAGTAGCTTCTTTTCACGCTGGGAAGAAGCCTGCGCAAATGATGGCCTGGTTTGGGTTCAAGAGGACCATGATCATGGACGTTTTGAAGAAGTGGAAGGCGTGTGAGAACAAGGACGAGTTTACTGTTCGTTCTTCAGTCGTTAGGACCGATCAGTTCATCGCCGCCATCAAGGAGAGTCGACAATGATGGAAGCTAGAGCTACACCAAGATCGCCGCTGACATGGGGCTGTCACAAGTCGACGATCTGCCGAATGATCAAGAAGGACATTGGTTACTCCTCCTACCGCAAGTCTCACCGCATGCTCATCACGAATGCCTTCAAGGAGTCGAGGAAAGCCAAGGCAGCGGCTTTGGTAAACGAGCTCAAGCACGGGTCCGCCGGGATGCTGAGGTTCTCTGATGAAAAGAATTTCATCCAGGACCAGACGAGCAACAGGAAGAACGACAGGTGGATCTGCAAAGACACCGAGGAGGTTCCCGTCGTGAAGCATATAAAGTTTCCCGCCTCCGTCTTGGTGTCATCTTCAGCGAGGGGGACATCATACCTCCGTTCTTCTTTCAAAAGAGCCTGAGAGTCACTGCTGAGATATACCAGGGGGTGCTGAAGCCCTTGATCGAGGAGATCGCCGCTGGACGTCCCTACGTCTTCCAGCAGGACTCCACTCTTGCACACAAGGCCAAGACGACTCAGGCGTGGCTGCTCAACAATGTTCCTCACCACTGGTCACAGAACTTGTGGCCACCCTCCTCACCCGACTGCAACCCCCTTGACTATTTCTTCTGGGGCGTGATCGAGGCCAAAACCAACAAGCACGCCCACAATACGGTTGACTCTTTGAAGGCTGCCATCGTGGAGGCGTTCGCCGCTATGGACAAGGACATGGTCGCCAAAGCGTGTGACTCATTTCGCGCCCGCCTTGAGATGGTCGTCGCCGACAGTGGCAATTACATTGAAAAATAAACTATGTTGCTAAATAAACTATCGGGTTTCTGCATATACAACTTTTGTTTTTTATTGCCTATTTTGTTTTCTTTTTGTCAAGTGTCGGATTTTGCTGCAACACCCTGTATAAAGTATATTTCAAAATTTGGTGTCAGTTTCACTTAAAAGCATACATAGGTTTTCTATTTTTTAGAATCATAAACCGATCCGTGTATAGTAAGATAACTTGTAGAAATAGTTTGGTTTGGACAACACTTAATGCCGGTGTGATACGGTATACATGCGAAGGAACCAATCAAAAATTGGAAACCCATATTGCGCAACACGTGCCTTCCTATTTACGATCATTGAAGACCAACCAACCTGTACATGACTTGTCTATTGGACAACACAAACCGTGCCACTGAATATGATGACACTTTTTTTTTCTGTTTTACATAGAGTTCGCACTGCTTACCACCTCAGAGTCCTGTATATATCAAATTATATCTGCTCAGCCTATGCAAACAAAAGGATCATTTCATTTGATCCTTGTCTTTAGTTGGAGTATGAGTAAAGCCATTTTTTTTTCTATTTTATACTCTTTTAATATCTGTTTTTTAAAAATTCTTCAAGCCCTGCATTTCTGAACAAATTTCACAAATAATTGGAATGGAATGTTTCACGGTAGATATAAACATAGTTACAAGTGTTTAACCATCATTCAACCGGTGGCTGGGCATTACGTCATTTTTCTCTACCACTGTTAAACCAGTGGGTGGGCATTATGTCTTTTTTCCCTACCACCGTTCAACCGGTGGGTGGGCATTACGTCATTTTTCTCTACCACTGTTAAACCGGTGGTCAGGGCACAAAGGGTTAAAAAAAAAAAAGAATTTATTCTAATTTTCCAAGTTGAACTTTGAAGTGTTTTTTTTTTAAAAAAAATTGTTCTAAGAAACCTTTTAATATGAACACTCAACATTATATTGCTCACAATTTTTTAATGTAGTGATAGAAATACTATAAAATTCTTTGTCTACAGAATGCATCCTAACAATGGTCCTGGAATGCCAGCAATAGCTGCGCAACCCCGTGGGATGATGGCAGCTCTGGTATCCAGACCCCCAGTGTCTTCTTCCTGAACAATTTTAACCCGTTTGCCTGAGTCAAAATTCGCAAATAATTGGTATGTGATGTTTCACGGTAGATATAAAAAATAGTTACAAGCGAAAAATAGTTACAAGAGAAAAATGACTTAATACCCAGCCACCGATTGAATGGTGGGTAAACACCCACCATTCAATCGGTGGCTGGGTATTAAGTCATTTTTCTCTACCACCAGTAAAGCAGAGGCCAGGGCTCAGGGTTAAAAGCATACATAGGGTTTCTATCATATTGAAATCATAAACTGGTCCGTGGATAGTACGATAACCTGTAGCAATAGGGTGTTTTGGAAAATGTAACAAGTTTTAGATACTGACGGGAGCAGAATATTTAAAATTAATATCCTTAACTGAAAAGTTTAATCTGTTTGAAAAATCTCATCATTTCTACAAAATTTTTTCTTAGAGAAATAAACTCATTTTTCAAATAAGTATTTTACAATTCGACTAACAGAATTGGTTAACCTAAAAGAAAGCGACCTGTCCAGAGTAGCAGATGTCTTGTTTTGGAAAATTGTTTAGAGAGGCTGCATAAATGCTAGGTACGCTGCAACATATTAACGAGTAATACTTACCTTTGCGCATGTAAATCATTATGAAAATATTTTTTTTTTATCATTTCACCCCAAGCAATGATTGATTCGTTTTTTACGGTTTAGCAACCCTTTGCAGGTTATTTAAAGCCATAAAATATTTTTTTTAGATTGTAAGAATATTTTTTGTAAATAATGATTTAGTGATACAAGTCTTATTAATTAACCCATAGTTGGAGGAAGAAGAGGTGGATTCATACATTTCCAAAGGGTATTTGCCCTAAGTGAAGAATTAGAACTCAGCTCTCCGATTTCCAATTCCGAGCCGTTATCCATTACACCACCCGCACATCCATGCTTACAGCACCTGGTAGTCCCAAACAGTCACTCATTTAGGTACTGACCAGGATCAACGTTGCTTAACTTCGGTGATTTTATGAGAACTAGTGTTTCGTGATATGGCCGTAAGCCTCAAGCAAGGCGATAATGTCACTAAGACGCAAGGGGCTACTGGGCGTGAAGGTGAAAACACTTTAAAAGGAACTGGAAAACTAATCCTAAACAAGAAATAAAGGATAAGCCTCTATTCCTCTTTAAAAGACTGGGAGGAGGAGGAGGAGGAGTGTGCACTAGACAATAGGCAAACCTATCTACTCCTATTAAATGGCAACTACTGTAGAGTCCAGATTTCCTAGTTTCTATTAAAAACCATTTGTCATGAATTGTATCAGTCAGTGGCAGATTATACAATTCCAGGAAATTCTATTGAACGCAGTTGTGTTGATTTGAAATGCAGGAAAATAGAAACAGAAGGAAGAAGTTCAAGTTGTTTGAACAATTTTAATTCTGGACAATTCATTATGTGAGGATTTTGGTTATTTAAAACTGAAACATATTTTGGTTTGGAAGAATAATTCTTTTTTTTTTTTTTTTTTTACGAGTGAATAATGCATTAATATTTTTTTTGAGAATAATTTTTTTTCCAGATACAAGTCCTACTGTTTAACCCATAGCTAGGGAGGGGGGATGAAGTCAGTTTTTGCAAGGATATTTACGTGTAAGTGAATGTAACGAACCCGACTGGAATTCGAACTCAGCTCTGTGATTTTTTTTATTCTGAGTTTTTACCCATTACACCAGCCGTACATCCAAGTGGAAGGCTAAAGTCAGAACTAGTTTTCTTTTGTCTCTTCCTAGTGGAGATTTCAAGAGGAAAACATGTTACACTGAACGCTACCCCAAATTATCCTGGGTTCATTGCTAGTTCTTAAAGCAGGGTGACGAATGCAGGCTTATTCTTTTTCACTTAATTGGTTAGTTTTAACCAATCCAGACCGTCACTAAGGCTATCTTGCAGGCAGTACTCCTTACAACACAAGTTCAACTCTATCACTATTTCCATGGAAAATGTTCCGTCGAGCTATATTCCTTTCCTTCCACTGGTTCAGGCCTTCACAGCTAAGACCCACCATGCTATCTACACAGATGCAAGATGTGATCATTCCCTTGGTAAGAAGCAAGTTCCATTTGAACAGCTTCTTCTCAAGAGTGGCTGCTTTGTTGAACAGACTCCTGAGAGGATGCTTCCTTGATAACTACAATCCCTTAACCTCTTCAAGTCTAGGGTTAACTGTTATCTAACATATCCTTATAATCTGCATTTACTTCCTCTGCTTACATTCATAAATCTTCATTTAGTCACCCTCTACCTTAAGTGGCTCTTGGGCCTTATATTGGATGAATATTTATTTTAAAAAAAGTATCTAGAAAATCAAAAGCTTGATGGAAGTTAAAGCATTAGAAATAAAACACAAACTAGTGACACTTTCTGACAATCCATGTTTTAGAATTTGGACATAGACCAGAATAAGGGTTCCTCCCATCCAACCTCTCTTGGAAATCAGTGTAGTATCGCAGATGTGTCTTGCAGGTTATACATTGATTCTTTTGTGGCACTGACATCATCGTAGAGCATGGTTATCAGGTAAATTTTATGAGTCATTGCTTGTGAATGTAAACTGTTGTGACCTTGTTCAACTGGGCTAAGTTTGAGCAAAAACTGATAGACTAGGTCTCTCTGCAAAGTATTCAACAGTTTTTGAATATTTAGAGAACCAGTTATGAGGTGATGGTGTAACTTGAAAGTCAACCAGAGGGGACCTTACTGCACATGCATAAATAGATACTCCACCATGGGGATACTCAGTTGTGTCATGAGCTTGTATAGTGTGACTGTCATATTCTCAATGATCGAGGCAGTAGAATGTTCGTCTTGTGACAGGACCTTTTTTTTTTTTTTTTTTTTTTGGCATAGAATGTTGCATCACTCAGTCTGTCAGTTGCCTGCTTACTCCTACAGTTGAGAGCTTGCAAATTTTAGTTGTTGCCTTTGAAAAGGAGATTTCAGGCAAAAGAAAACTTTGTGGACTGCTTTGAAAAATGGAAAGGGAGCTTGGAAGTGTGGGAGATTCCAAGGTGAATACTTTAATGGGAACTAAGGCGCCACAGCCCAAGGTAGGCTATTTTTTCCTGTTAGTATTAAATAATTGGATCATTTCTGGACAGATATTGGATAAAGCAGAAAAAAATGTTACACATATAAAAAATTTCTCACCATGATTAAGTGTCATACTAAGTGAATGCAAAAGTTTCCAGCAAAAAAAAAAAAAAAAATGAACAATATTCAACTGTATATCAAAGCTGTAGCTTTTAAAAGAAATGTGCTGGGTACTTTTGCACACAGCTAATAAAATCTGTGATGAACCATGGCACAAAAATAAAACCCACTTGAATTATGAACATAAAAGTAGCAAGATATGCCATTTTAGTTTTACAAGTCTTTCTTGAATTATTCAATAAACTTTTTATTCAACTCAACCCAGTTTCAGGTGCCCTAAAGTTGTCAATGTTGATATTTTCAGGGAGTCAAAGGTCACTTGGGTAGAAAGCAAACATTTACATTATTTGGACTATTGTCCTCATCTTTGTCGCCATATTTATTACGTTTCGGCTGCTGTACGCTCCAGCCTTCTTCAGGTGGTTAGAATGTCAAACTCAAGGACACATGGCACAGTGGATAAAGGCGTTAGTTAGATCCAGTGACAGGACCCAAAGAGTCCAAGTTCAATACCCGGTTAAGGCAGTGGAGACCTTTCAGAGGGAAATTAACAGGAGATAACTGACATCCATTAAACATGGCACATGGAACTAGAACAGTCTACCCCAGTGAGCGAAATAAAGGGTTCAGTTCGACATTCCAACCACCTGAAGTACGACTGAAACACTGTAATAATTATGGTGACAAAGATGAGGACAATAGTCCGAATAATGTACATAATACCTCATCTCACAAATATAGACAGAGCAAAAATTTAAGTAAAAATTCAGTTCTAATTGAAGTAAGAAGAGTGTTATATTTGAGTCTGGTGGCTGAAGTAGTTGTGTATCATTAACAAAAGATGATGATTTTCAAACACTGGTAAAAGCCAGGATTTCAAATCCTGATTTTCAAGGTAGGCAGACACACCCAGCCCCAAAATATTAGTAATATAAGCATGTTACAATTAAAAGAATTAAAAACAATTTATTTAAGTTTTTTTTTTATCTATATAACTTGGTAATTTTCATTAATTTAACAGTAAGAATATAGAGATTTTGTTTAATATTTATAATTTTTGTGCTTTATTTTTTCCTAATGCATTTAATGACAAAATTTACATTACTAAAAGAAAAAACGTTTACAAAATAAGCCCAGTGAAAAAGTTCTCAGCCTAAAATATTTGTATAATTTATCTGCAAATAATCTCATTTTTTATGGGTATTATGCTAGGCATATTTTTCTGAAGAAAGAAGACTAAGAGTTCATAAAAGTGTCACAAATATTAGCTGGTCCCTGATTTAATGATTTCAGGATTCAGGCCTGTCAGATATGGGGAGTAATGTTGCTTTACCCTGCCACACCAGCCTATGATGTTATCCTTCTCTTAGACTGTTTGTTATACCAAGGCTAGTCTGTCCTACTGTTTACCCATAGCTGGTGGAGGAGGAGATGGGTTCATGCCTTTTCCAATGTCTTGAGTGCAAAAGTGAATGCAACAGTTGGAATTTGAACTGATTCTATTTTACATGCTGATAACTATTTTCAATGATTTCACCCCTAGCAAGACAATAAGGTAACTAAGAAAGACAAGAGATTACTCTGTACATTATTCAGACTATTGTCCTCATCTTTGTCACCATATTTATTACGTTTTGGCCCTTCAGTATCTGTCTATATTTCTGAGATGAGGTATTATGTACATTTACATTGTCTCCATATTTATTACATTTTGGCTGTTGTATGCCCTGGCCTTCATCAGGTGGTTGGAACATCGAACTGAACCCTTTATTTTGTTCACTGGGGTAGACTTTTCTAGTTCCACATGCCATGTTTAATGGATGTCTGTTATCTCCTGTTAATTTCCCTCTAAAAGTTGTCCACTGCTTTAACCGGGTATTGAACTCACACTCTTTGGGTCCTGTCACTGGATCTAACCAACACCTTTATCCACTGGCACATGGAACTAGAACAGTTTACCCCAGTGAGTGAAATAAAGGGTTCAGTTCGACATTCCAACCTCCTGAAGAAGGCTGGAGCATACAACGGCCGAAATGTTGTAATAAATATGGCAACAAAGATGATGACAATAGTCCGAATAATGTACATAATACCTCATTTCAGAAATATAGACAGATACTGAAAGGCCGAAACGTAATAAATATGGCGACAAAGATGTGGACAATAGTCCGAATAATGTAAATAATGTACATAATACCTCATCTCAGAAATATAGACAGGTTACTCTGTGTTAGGGAAAATAAAGAAGAAAAAAAACAAAAAAAAAACAACTCTAACGAGAGAAGACAATAAAAGAAGAGGAATTAAGGATGAAGATAACTGACATTGCATTTAAATTTTAAGCTGTTACACAATTAGTCTAACAAAAATGCTCTCCAAGGTCTTGGACCAGACTTAGTAAAAGACTATCCTTATTTGAATAAACCATTCCATTGGCTTACCACAATCCTTTGTGATGTTTTGTGTTTTTATGTTGAGATTTATTAGCTACAAATGAATTCAGGATGTTTACATGTGTGTCATTCCTAATCTTGATTGTTGCCCGTTGCTTTCAGTGAGAGATTTTTTGATTTATTTGTCCTACTCGAGGCAAAGAAGTTGTTTTGTGACAACTTCAGAGACATGTAAAAGGGGAGGTACAAAAGCATGTTGGATGCTTATTGTGAAGAAGAAAAACATATTTGGATGTGACATGAAACGTTGTACAAATGAATCTTCACGTTTCTTGTAAGGAAGAAGCATGAAGTATAAAGATGCCATTCATAGAAAATAGATTTAGGTTGAAAAGTGGAGTCTGGTTGACATTTGTGGGCCCGCTCAAAGGAAAAAGGATTTGGCAAGGAATCTATTT